TAGCTACTCCACACTTGAGAGGACCACCCGCATCAAGAGCTCCAGCTAGGCGCCCCTTCCGAGGAAGGACCTATGCTCCAAGGACGCCAAGATGCTACACCTGCAATCGTGTGGGACATGCCACCCGGGATTGTCCCCAACGAGTTCCAGCTCCCGTCACGTACCAGCCCAGAGGAACAGATTCCAGAGGCAGAGGCAGAGGCAGAAGACAAGGTCGTCGTGGTCCCCGGCATGATCCACAAACTCCACTCGCCACATTGGCTTTAACCAATGATCCACAACCTCAACCAGAGTACGACAGACGACTCCTGTGGACTTTGGACAGTGGTGCAGCATTGCATGTTACCTACAGAAAGGAACTTTTCACAGAAATGCACGAGCCTGAACCAGAACTACGTGAACTTTATTCTTTCTCCAATCATCTTTGTCAGGTCAAAGGAAAAGGAACTGTTTATGTTGAAGAGCTCGATGCATTCATTCCTGATGTTTATTACATACCAACAGCAACCAGTAATTTGCTTAGTCAGTGTCACTTGTCTAGAATGTTAAAGTTCCAAGTTCACCACCTTGAAAAAGCAAGTTACATAGTTAAAGATGGAGATATTGTTGCTGAAACCATATTAATTGGTGGTGTTTATTACTTAAAGCCAAAGCCTAAACCACAAACACAAGCAAGTATGCAAACTCCAAAAAGGCAGAGCACAGGCCCAGAGAGAGATGCTCCAGAGAGAGATCCTGTTGCTATTCCAAAGGCTCCTAAAGCCAACAAAAATAGAATTGGTAAACAGGTTGCTCAGAGCAAGCCTGAGGTTCCGCATAAAAATGTTAATGTTGAGAATTCACTAACAGGTAAACCTTTGCATTCCAGGTGTATCCACAAATGGCATAGAAGATTGGGGCATGCCAGTTTCCGTGTTCTTAGGAAGATGCCGGAATTCACAAAAGGTTTGGATCTAAAGGGGTGTAAGGTGTTTTTTGGATTGTGCTGTATGCAAAAAGGCCAAATCCAAAGCAGCAGCCATTCCCAAACGCGCTACACGCCTGTCAACACGCATTTTTGATTTGGTTCACATTGACATAGTTGGTCCATTTCCGCCATCATTTGGTGGTAGAAAATATTTTCTAACAATTGTTGATAATTACTCTAGATATGGATATGTATATCCTATGAAAGAAAAATCAGAGACCTTTCAGATCTTTAAAGACTTTGCAATCCTTGTTTCTACCCAACATCAAGTTCGCATCGCCAGAATCCAGAGTGATCGTGGTGCCGAATTCATGTCTCAGCGTTTCCAGGACTGGATGCGTAAGAATAGAATTATTCATCAGACTTCACCCCCTGACACACCGGCTCACAACGGAGAGGTACTGCAAACCATGATGTGTTGTCTCCTAGAAGACGCCAACCTTGATATGATATACTGGGGTGAAGCTATCAAGTACGCAAATTACATTGTCAACCGTACTTGGAGCAGTGTAACAAATCAGACTCCTTTCTTCATGTTGTATGGCTATAAGCCCAATCTTAAAAACATCCATATTTTTGGTTCATACGCTATGGTGAACATTCCCTTAGCTCAAAGAAGAAAAGGAGGTCCAGCAGCAAAGAGACTGAGATTTATGGGTATTGATGATAACTCAAAATGGAGCAAATTTATTGACTCTAAACATGCAATTGTGATTTCTCAATCTGCTAATTTTGAAGAAGATATTGACTGGTCCAGGATTCATTCCAATGATCCTGGAGTTTATTTTCCTAGAGATGATACTGCTGATGCCACGCAGATTGATGATCAAGATTCCACTGATTCTTCTCAACCCGATGTTCCGTCTTCGCAAGCCACGGATGCTGATGCTAGCGACGAAAGTGAGGACGAGGACGAAGCAGAAGAAGACTGGACAGTTGTCCCGAGACGTTCCAAGAGGGCCACAAAAGGGATCCCTCCACAACGATATTCTTGGCAACTGACAAAAGCACCCTTGCCTTTGATTTGCAATGTCACACTTCCACCTGATAATTTCACACAAATCAAGCAGCTCCCTGATTCAGAGCAAGACAAATGGTATGATGCAATGCAGGTTGAAATGGACAGTCTAAAGAAACTTAAAGTGTTTACACCTGCAAAACCTCCAGCAAACAAAAAGGTCATTGGCACTCGATGGGTTTACAGAATCAAAAAGAAACCAAATGGTGAGTCACTGTACAAAGCCAGACTTGTAGCTCAGGGTTTCGCTCAACGTTATCCTGAGGATTACACAAATACTTACTCACCGACAGTCAGAACTGAGAGTGTAAAAATTGCTTTAGCAACTGCAACTATCCTTGGTTTAGAAGTTTTCCAATTTGATGTTGACACGGCTTATCTACATGCAGACCTAGACGAAGAGATCTACGTGAGAAGTCCTCCAGGATTCCGACAGCAAGAAGGGGATACCTGGTTCCTAAACAAAAGTCTTTATGGTCTGAAACAATCTGGTTTAATGTGGTATTTATGTCTTACTGACAAACTAAATTCAATGGGCTTTATTAAGTCCGAAACTGATGAATGCGTGTTCACAAAAAGATCTAACAATGCATATGAGATAGTTCTTGTTTATGTTGATGATATTGTTTATATTGGTCCAAATAAGCAAATGAGTGAAATTTTTGCCAAAGCTTTGCAGAGATACTTCACATTGAAATCATTAGGTCACATTAGCACTTATTTAGGTGTTCAGATTGAAAAAACACAGAAGGGGTTTAGTCTTTCACAAGAAGATAAAATTGAACAAGTTTTGCATCATTGCAACATGAAAGATGCTAACACAACAAAGACACCCATGCAAACAGATTTTCACAACTTGACACAAGAAGAAAGTCCTGAGTTCGAGGATCAAACACTTTATCGTTCAGTCATTGGGTCACTGTTATACATTAGTAGTTGGACCAGACCCGACATTGCACTTAGTGTTAATCTTTTATCACGACACGTAGGTAAGGCAAAACAGTTTCATTGGACATGTATTAAGAAATTACTGAGATACCTAAAATACACCAAACATTTGAAGTTATTGTTAGAACCAACACATACTGATTATGCAGAATTATGTTGTTATGCAGATTCTGATTGGGCAAGTGATAAGAAATCACGTAAAAGTACTTCAGGTTATATGATGTTCTTAAATGGATGTCCTGTTTATTGGCAAGTACGTAAACAGAATTTTGTTTCTTGTTCATCTACTGAAGCTGAATATGCTTGTGTTTCAGATGCATGTAATTCCCTAACTTGGTTTGATGCTTTAGTCACAGATATCTGGACACACCCGATCCAACCGATCACCGTGATGGAAGACAATGAATCGGTGGTTTATATTTCTGAATCTCATTTTACAGGTTCTAGGTCCAGACACATTGACATTCGTTATCAAAACATAAAGCATTTAGTGAAAAAAGGTTTTGTCAAAATGCAATATGTATCCACACATGATCAAATTGCTGATATGCTCAACAAACCACTTCCAGCAGCTCAACATGAGTATCTGCGTGAGAAGATGTGCCTTATTTGATGATGAACTGATATTCGCTCAACTGGCAAAGAAGGGGAATGTCACTGCGTTATTTTATTTACCAGCTGATCCAGGGTGATTAGTCCCAGAGCCAAACATGGGATTAATAAATGCCCTGAATTTCTATTTGTATATATTTAAGGTGACCAACTTTTTTACAATGAGAAGGAGGACACAAATAAATTGAAGGGGAAAAAAAGAAGTGAGTCTAATGCGTGCATGCGTGTGTGCCGTGTCATGTTTCGGTAAGAAGTAAACAAAGCCACTTGCGTGCTACACACTCTCTCAAAACAATTCTCCTGTGCGGAGAGCATGCATCTCATAATTGTGTGTTGCCGCACTGTACCAAGCCTTGATGAATTGTCATGTCAAATACAAATACGTCACATCACACTCAACGGATCGGATCGGCATCGATCGAATACGGAGATTTACAGATCAGTCTTCAAATATTGAGAAGGAGGACATGTAGGAGGACACTTTTCAAGAGAGGACAGAACTTACAAAAGAAGGACTGTCCTCCCCAAAGAAGGATGATTGGTCACTTTAATACTGTATATTTTGTTTAATGGTGTGAGCTGCCCAGAGCCATGTATTGACATGAGTAGCTATATGAATTTATCCCCTTTTGGCAAGCTCAGTTGTAGCAGATGGCAGAGCAGAGAGCAGATGGTAGATATAGCTGTGTGGCAGAGCAAGAAATATGAAAGGAGGCAAGTTGGAGTAGCTGCAAGTACTCTTGCTTTAATCAGAGCTGGAAAATGCGCTCCCACAGAGAGGGCCTCCTCGGGGTGCCATCAGCCAAACAATGTAGGCTGGTGACCCCCAGGGGGAGGGCCTTCTCTGTGGGGGCACCTACCCTCTGGAATCAGCTGCCCCCAGAGATAAGGAGAATTCAAGACCTCGGTGCCTTCCACCGTGCCCTTAAAACCTTCTTTTTCCAGCAAGCCGGGCTGGCTTCACGTAACATTTTTTAAAAACATTTTTAACTGGTTTGTCATTTTAAATTGGGGCCAAATTAATATATATCCTTTTAATTGCTTTTAATGTTTGTATTGTATGTTTTTAGCTGGCTGTACACCGCCCTGAGTCCTTCGGGAGAAGGTGCAGTATATAAATTCGAAATAAAATAAAAATAAAATAAAATAAAAAATATCCCCCAAAATGTAGTATGGAAGTAATTAATTAATTCCCACCATCTATAACTGATTTCTAGCATTTACTTTAAGTAATAAGGTTAAATTTAGAGCAGCATATGGCAACTCTAATATGTATGGACTCTATATCCTACAATTACTCAACTAGCGTGGGTGGCTGTGTGAGTTGAAATCCACACTTCTTAAAATTGCCAAGTTTTTAAAACACTGGTTTATACCTTCTGCCTAGAATTTTTCTTGACTTACCTCTTTATGACATATTAGAATTTAGAACTGAACCAATAGGCCTGGATGACATGTTGAATCCTTCCTACAGGCTCCAATACCACTAAGCCTTGGAGAGGATTTGCTTTCCTTGTTTTCTTCGAAGTATGCCTTTTAATTCTGACCATTTTCCTTTGATGTCCTTGATGCTTAGAACTCAAACATCTCTTGCCTGCTCTTGCAGTAAAATTCTGAAATAAGGTGCTTGACCTCAAATCTCAGTTAAAGTGACATGAAACTGCTTAAAGTCATGCATGTCTACTCTTCTCTATTTTAGTTACTATACTTTAACCTATGAATAGTATATTATTTCTTGGTTTAGCTGAAGAATATAGTACAATTGAAATTGTAATATAGCAGTTCTATACTTTTAGTAGTTTTTTTTAATAAAGGCATTTAAATATATTATTCAGTTGCTTAAAGTAGATATATTGGTCCACATAGGGATTTTATTAGTTCAGAATTGCACTAAGTAGAATAAATCCATCCACACATGAATATGTGGCAATTAGCAATGGTATTTACAAATGATTTGCAAAAGATAGTTATATCTCAAGATATTTGCACTAAACAAATATTCTTTTTAAAGTGTATGTTATTCCCTAATTGAAGCAGTTTCTTAACTCGCTTTATCTATTTTGTTTTCACTGCCAAATCACTCCATAATTTGTATTGTGCATTATATTTGCCTTAAGAGGCTCTTTCGTAAGTAATACATGAAATGCACATATGCGTTTCTGAACAGGCTTTACTGGTCCAAGTCAATTTTTTTCAAAGGCCTATCTAACATTTTGTAGTAATCAACACTAATGAAAGAAGATTGCTTAGAAATGAACAGTAACCTTTTGGCTTGAATCATCCAAATTCCTGCTGTAAAAGCATGTTTTGTTCTCAACTTTTAGATTACAAAATTCTAATCAGGTCTAGAGACTGACAGCCATGAGGATGATTTGCATATTCTTTGCCAGTGTCATCTTGTCTTTCCTGGCTGGTTCAGGTGAGCAATATCCCAATTGTGCACTATTCTTTTCAAGAAACTTTTAACATTTCAGTCTCCTATCTAGACCAGGGGTCTCCAACCTTGGCAACTTTAAGACTTGTGGACTTCAACTCCCAGAGTTCCTCAGATGGCTGAGGAATCCTGGGAGTTGAAGTCCACAAGTCTTAAAGTTGCCAAGGTTGGAGACTCCTGATCTAGACTGTTAGTAAGGTTTAAGGAGGACAAGGAAGCTTCTTATATGAAATGCAGCACAACCATAGTTTTTCCCAAAAACCTGGGATCATGAAGTAACATTTCCAACCCAGCCACTTCCAAATGTAGTTAGACCAAAATTTTAAGAATTAGCAATTAACTTTAATGAATTGAGAACCCTGGAATTACTCTATTAGGAATTGGAATCACAACTGACCCAAGTGTATAAAGTTAGCACCCATCCCTCTCCTAAGAATGAAATATTTTGAGAAATATTAAAAAGGCAGAATATTATATTTCCCTAAAGGAGAAACATGTTCTTGGAAAGCAACCCCCACCTTTCTTAATAGTCCCAGTAGGACTGGGCCAGCCTATCTACAAGACAAAAGACCTTCAGCTCCAGGGTGATGGGATTAGCCCTCATTCAAGATCCAAACCAGGAGAAAGCCACAATAAGAATTGACCAAAACCCTTTCAGAACACAAGCCTCTTCATTACATAATTACCCAGCAACTTCAACCAAACTTATCTCAGACAACCTCAGTTATGAGCCCTGCATAGCCCCATGGGAGTCTGACAGGAAGCTCAAGTTCAAAGCCCAAGAGAAGGTATAAAAGCCACCCTCTCTCAACTCCATGTGGTCAACTGCACCAGGACCATGTGCTTGATGATTCTGCTCCGTTAAACCATTTTTCCAATCAGCCTCCACATTTCCAGTGTCTTTCTTCCCACTTGGAACTGAACCAGATGGATATTTCTTCCAACACAAGGATACCATTGATGACTAGAAGTCCTTCAGTTCTATTCTGATTAAATTAAATTAAATTTGGGGAGGCATCATTCCAAGGACACTGAGAACATTGATGACTACTGGGAAGTTATCTGACACGGATAATATTTGTGTTGTCTCTCCATGCAGGCAAAGGAGATTTTGTCACACTGGGCTGCCTTTTCCGAGGTGGAACCTGTGAAACTAACACCTGTAAGGAAAATGAAATACAGATTGGGAATTGCTCCAAGATTCAAAAAATATGCTGTAAGAAACCGAAACCAGCTCTAAAGGGAACAGACACCTGGAGGAACTAGCCCTAGATCCATGGACAGATAGATAAGTGATGAGTTTGCTAATATGTTTTGGTACAGTTTTGTTTTGTGCACATGCCATTTTCTTTAAAAAGTTTGAAGATGTGATGTTTGACTCTTCCTCCTTAAGATGTTTCTGGAGTAACCACATCCAGTTGCAAAATAACTGGCAGATGGCCGTGAAAGAGGTTTTTGTGCATTTTTGCTACTGGATTTTATAGCTGACTATTTTTTGAGAAAGGGTTTGAACCAGGGGTGAAATGCTCCCAGTTCGGACCGGCTCGGGTGAATAGGTAGCAATGATGGCCGGTGGTTCGGAGAATCAGTAGCAATGGCAGCTGGAGGCTCCGCCAACCCGCCCACCCACCCCATTCCCCAAATTCAGGGAATGCACCATTCCCCGGACTCCTAGTGCTCACCTTTCTCCTGCAGCTGGCTGTCAGGGAAGGCAAGCGCCTGAAAGGTACTGGAGTCACTCACTCTTTTTCTTGAATGAGCCGCTCTGGTCCACGCTCTGGCTGCGCAAGCGCATACCGTTTATTTAATTCAGCGGCAGTTTGGGTGTGCGCTTGCGCAGCCAGCATGTTGACCAGAGCGGCTCATTCAAGAAGGAGAGTGAGTGACTCTGGTACCTTTCGGGCACTTGCCTTCCCTGACAGCCAGCTGCGGGAGAAAGGTGAGCAGTAGGAGTCCGGGGAATGAGGCGGGTGGGCAGAGCCGCGGGAGAAAGAAATTTAAAAAGTTTTCTTACCGGGTTCTGTGGGCGTGGCTTGGTGGAAGGGGGTCTTGGGACTGAGTGGGTGTGGCTATGAGTGACATTGAGTTGGCCACGCCCACTCAGTCACAGGACAGCCCCCCACCAAGCCACACCCACAGAACCGGTAGGGAAAAATTTTAGATTTCACCCCTGGTTTGAACATCTCTTTAATTTATTCATTAATGCATTGTATTTAAATTCCATCTTCTGCCTTCAAATTCACATCGGTTTCCATAAGGAAAGAAAGAGGAAGAGTCATTGTGCAGATATACCTAGTGAGCTGTCTTGGTAAATGGAGATTGAACCTCAATCCCCCTTGTGCAGCTCAATATTTACTGACCTCACTATACTGACTCTCAACATACCTCTTGATTGTTAATTTATTTCCTTCCAGACAGCACACAATCCATCCTTCCCACCCTCTGGTTTTGTTCTTTGTGTAACTCCAGGATTCTGCCTGTCCTGTTGATTCTGCTTTCAGGTTATTGTAAATTAGAAGATGTGAGATGATGTAATTTAAAATCTCACTGGCAGATTCTTTTTCTTTTCTTTTCTTTTCTTTTTGTTTGTTTGTTTGTTTGTTTGTTTGAGAACTTCCCAGTAAAAAATAATTAGAGTGACTGGTACTGATCTGAACCCTCTTGACATATCCTAGTCTACCTAGGGAATGAGCACTTAGATTTTTCTATCACTAAGCCCAATCTGATGCCAAATCTCTCAATTTAAAAAGGAATCCACTGGGAAAAAGTCTTCTCCTTTCCCTTCTAATCCAGCAATATTTATCATCTGATTTAGCAATAGCAATAGCACTTATACTTATATACCATTTCATAGTGCTTTAGAGCATTCTCTGTTTACAGAGTCAGCATATTGCCCCCAACAATCTGGGTCCTTATTTTGCTAACCTCAGAAGGATGGAAAGCTGAGTCAACCTTGAGCCGGTGAGGATCGGAACTCCTGGCAGTGAGCTGAATTAGCCTGCAATACTACATTCTAATCACTCTGCCACCATGGCTCCTTTATCCTCTGTATCTTCCATATTTGTTTTATTTTCTTTCATTCAATGTATATAGCCATCCATTTTACATATATGACTGGGTGGTTCACAAGGTAAAACATAAGTAATAAAGCAACACGTGGAAACAACGTAAGCAACATAAGCAAATCTATATAAATAAAATTAAAAACAGTTAAAGCAATTAACCATTTGTTAAAGGTTCCTTCATTTGTTACTGCTCCCCGCCATACTGTAACTTATATTATTATTATTATTATTATTATTATTATTATTATTATTATTATTATTTCAGCTTTATTCAGTGATAATATCACCAGTGATTCAATACATTCATCCTGATTTTTACACAGTAACATTTATTTCAATGGTAAAGATAAAAAGCTCCTTTACGGCCATGATAATTCAATGAAGCCTTGTATTTATATACATTTCAAAAAATCACGTACTAAAATCACCTACAAGCAAAACCATCTAGAATGGTGGCCCCCAATCTTTTGAGTTCCAGGGATCAGTTCTATGGAGAGAGGTTTTTCCATGGACCGGAGAGGGGCGTGGTTTCATTATGCTGCCTGCATCCTTTATTTGCGTGGCCAGTGCAAAGACCAGGGGTTGCGGATCCCTGCTCTAGAAGATTAGCACAACAAAGTAAAATCTGCATCAGACCAGGTCAAAGGTTAGCAAATGCATACTGGGCCAGATATGACTGAAAGCCCACATACAAGATTCCCCATGTAGAATAGCAATTGGATTTAGACTTATATACCACTTCATAGTGCTTTACAGAGTAGCTTCTTCCTTTCAATCATGTTCCCTCGGAATTAGTACTATATTGAAGGACAAATGAATATACCAACAGTAATGAAAGAAAATTATCAACAAGAGGACTGTGCAAAAGTATTTCATTCTGTGTGCGAGCAGGGAAGTCTGCAAGGGGCGGCATCAAAACAAAGGACGGGGTGTGAAGCCAACATAATCTTTCAGATCATTAAAGGAGTCGCATCTCTTATAAAGGTCAGGCAGCTGCATCAGAAGCGGCTTCCTGCTTTCTCTGCTTTGATGTATGTGTGTAATGGTTGTGCACGCACATATGGCTGCTTTAATGATTGAAAAACAAATGTTTCATTTGTGTTCCCCCATGTTTTAAAACATAATAGCCACTAACACTCTTGATGTCAATTCCCTGTTAGTCATGTGAAAAAAGAGGTTTATTTATTTATTTTGCTTTTCTGTATTTCCGTATTTCACTTTCATTTCATGAGCCCAGCTTCCCGGGCTATAAAAGAGATAAAAACATCCCCCCAGTTTCTCCCCATCATTTTGACAGTTAATTAATCTTATCTTTTCTAAGTTAAAAGCTCAAAATATTGTATTTGCTTCTCGCACAGGACTTAGTTGTAAGGACTGCTTCTTTATTTTTATTTTTATTCATTTCATAATTATTTTTCTCCAAGCAGTTAATCCCCATTCGGCAGGGAAAGCTGGCAAGGGTATTTATAAAAGATATTATCTTTGTCTGTGGGAAAACCACTCCAAACTTCTCCTTTTGTCCTGCGCATGAAATTTGGTCAATAGCCCAAAAAAGCCTTGCAGTTGAAGGACTTTGGCTCAATTGTTGGACTATCTAATATTCTTATCTAATCTCATCTGAGTCAGGAGGCAAATAAGGACAACATGTGACTTGGGAAAGGATTGTACTTTTTATCAGTTGCACACTCTGTTCATGGCATTGACCTGAACACTTCTGCAAAGAGAATATTTTATATAAATATAAAATTCCATAGGGGAGGTAGCTTCAAGCGTGTTCATTCTACTTTCCTGTGTTAAACTGTGTACGGGTCATGCCTTACCTCCAAGGATTAGAGATTACTTTGTTTTCTCGACTTAATTACTCCTTTTAATTCCTTTAAATGGGTGATAAAAATTCTGTGCTTCCTAGAGGTGATAGGCATTATGGTTCAAAACATCTGGAGAGCATAAAGAGAAACCATGACCTAGAAATGAGTTGGTTCAAAATATGGACCTTCGGCACCACTCTGATATTTGCACCTGAGTAGCTGAGCTGATTTTCATCTGGTTTGACTATGAGTGCAGCTCAAAGATTTGCAACCTTGGAGGTCTGAAGCAGTTGGAAAGGCAATTTTCCCATTCAGGAACTTCCCCTTCTTCCCAACTCCTGCAATATGAGCTCCAAACTCAGTAATAATTTCCCAGTCTGCAGTGGTCAGACTGTCTATGGAGATTCTCAGTCATCCAGGTCATGGTTGTCCCAAAGGTGTTTTTTTTTTCCCCAAGAGGCAACTGGACTTTCTGGTTTTTCTTTGAAGACGTTTTGCTTCTCATCCAAGAAGCTTCTTCAGCTCTGACTGGATGGTGGGAAATGGAAGGATTTATACTCCTTGCAGACAGCTGGTCATTTGCATTCTTTTAGCAGGTCATTACGGTCACCTGGAGGTTTATCTGTGTCATCAACTGAGTGGGGCAAATTGGTGTGGAGCCTTCTTGGAACTGTTGAACGGGCTGTGTTATAGATTGGAGATAGATGATGTCATATCCCTCCCCTTCTGTTGAGAGAGGGCTGTTCAATTTTGACATAGATGGCCTCTTTGATCCCTCTTTCAAACCAGTGATCCTCCTCTGTCCAAGTAGATTAGACTATTCCAAAAACAATCTTTGAAACATGATTTCTTTCTATCATGAGATGGACAACACCAAATCAAACTAATGATATAGGGCAGTGATGGCTAACCTTTTTGCCATTGCGTGCCAAAAGTGGGGGGAGTGCGGGGGGTCGCTTGCGTGCATGCCCACACCTATAATTCTATGCGCCCTACCCCCCGCGCATGCGTGTACGACCCTCCTGCGCTCCCCCCACTTTTGGCATGCGATGGCAAGGTAGGCTCGTTTTTCACTCTCCCCAGGCTCCAGAGCCTTTCTAGGAGGCTGGGGAGGGCAAAAATGGCCTCCCCCACTCCCCTGGAGGCCCTCCGGAGGCCGGAAACAGTCTTTTTCCTGACTTCCAGTGGGCCCAAAAGGCCCGAAAATCAGCTGGCCAGTGTGCGCATGCACGCCGGAGCTGAGCTCACTTGCCCACCGATATGGCTCCATGTGCCACCTGTGGCACGCGTGCCATAGGTTCGCCATCATGGATATAGGGTCTCAGCAGAGGTAAACACAGAATTGCTAACTGTTGTCTTTGAGAACTTCTGGCAAACTCATGAATAGTGGAAGAGAGCAAATGCAGAGTCTTTTTAAAAAGAGCAGAAATTACAAACCTGTTAACTTGTTGTCTATATTGGACAAGATTCTGGAGCAGGATATATTGGATGGGAAG